AGATATTGAGCACTTTATCCCATAAATATAGCACACCTTTTAAAACTATATTTAATCATTATATATATATATATATATATATATATATATATATATATATATATATATATATGTGTGTGTGTGTGTGTGTGTGTTTATACATTCTTTTTTATATGCATATATAAATAAAAAAGAAAGAACAGTAAGATATATAATCCGGTATTCTTATTGATATCGTTTTTATTTTTATTTTTACAAAACAGTGATCAATGTAACTTTACAGAGCATACATATTATAAATCAACTGATTGAAAATTGGGTTTTTTGCTACACAGTAATAACCATGTTTCAAAAATGGAAGTTAAAAATTTAAAATTAATTATATAATTAAATTAAATTAAACGCATTATTTTCGTTTCATCTTCAAGCGAATAGTGGAATATATATATATATATATTTAATTGTAAAGTTTTCAGCTTCCATTTTTGAAACATGGCTATTAGTCTAGCGAAGAAAACATGTTTTCAATCAGTTGATTTGTAATACATTCTTCGTTATAGATACAAATATTTAAGTAAATGCTCTGTTTTTATAATAGACAGTATTAACATTTACCGGCCTGAATGTACGAGAAATATATATATATATATATATATATATATATATATATATATATATATATATATATATATAATCAAATATATAAATACAGAAAAATGTATGAGGAAGCGTTCGTATGCAAATACATATATATATATATATATATATATATATATATATATATATATATATATACATTATATTATAAAAAAAGCAGCGCTCGGTGTTAAATAACATAGCTATTTAATATATTAAAACTATATGATAACAACCTACGTTGAATAGACGAGTCGGCGTTACATGTTATTATGAAACGTCTAGTTGTACTTTCAACATTATATATATATATATATATATATATATATATATATATATATATATATATATAAACAGAATGATAGATATGAACAGAAACACATCGATAGATATGAGCAGAGTCCGATAGAATGAACAGAGAGATAAAGAAACATATATAAATAGCAAGACAGATACTTAGATTGAAATAAGAACAGGTATAGATCAATATATATATATATATATATATATATATATATATATATATATATATATATATAATATATAGTTTTTGAATATATATTGTGAAATGTTACCACACATACACACACACACACACACACACACACACACACACACACACATATATATATATATATATATATATATATATATATATATACAGAATGATAGATATGAACAGAAACAGATCAATAGATATGAGCAGAGTTCGATAGAATGAACAGAGAGATAAAGAAACATATAAAGAGCAAGATAGATACTTAGATTGAAATAAGAACAGGTATAGATCAATATATATATATATATATATATATATATATATATATATATACGTAAAATGAATATAGTTTTTAATATATTGTGAAATGTTACCTATACAAAATATATATATATATATATATATATATATATATATATATATATATATATATATATATATATATATATATATATATGTATATTCATATATATATATAAGTATTCATATATATGCATGCTTATATACAAGCATAATTTTCTTTGCTTTTTACGGAACGACTTGGTTGGTTTGGAATTCATTAGGCAATAATCCATTCGAGTGACGTATTATTTCCGTATTTATTTCAATTTCGCCTTCCGCCAACCAATTTTCAGCGTCTGATACTTTTAGCAGCCATCTTTCTTTTCTTGATTTTTCAGATCTGATTGTCTCATAACCAATTTCCGTCCTTCCTTTCGTAGCATTTTTCTTTCCGTTGCCCACAGCAAAACGAGTGTCTTTTATTAGGCGTGACACTCGCCACACTAACGACACCTAACATATATCCTCTGACCTTTGGCAAATTGATTTGTGATTTGCCACTATTAAAAATCGAACGTCATTTCCAACTTTTCCTTTATTACACAAGCATAATGTCTGTCACCGCCATTTATCGTGGTACAATATGTGCGACAGATTATTTATCATACGCTTATACCTCCATTCTTATCTATCTATCTATCTATCTATCTATCTATCTATCTATCTATCTATCTATCTATCTATCTATGTGTATTCTTTCTTTCTATCTATCTATCTATCTATCTATCTCTGTCTGTTCATATCTATCTATCTATCTATCTATCTATCTATCTATCTCTGTCTATCTATCTATCTATCTATCTATCTATCTATCTATCTATCTATCTATCTCTATTCTTTGTTTCTTTCTTCCTTACTATCTATCTATCTATCTATCTATCTATCTATCTCGGTCTATTGCTTCTATCTATCTATCTATCTATCTATCTCTATTCTTTCTTTCTTTTTTTCTTTCTATCTATCTATCTATCTCGGTATATTCCTTCTATCTATCTATCTATCTATCTATCTATCTATCATTCATCTATATATCATATCTATTCATCTATCTATCTATATCTGTCTGTTCATCTATCATCATCTGTTCATTCATACATCTATCTATTCATTCATCTATCTATCTATCTATATCTATCTATCTATCTATCCATATCTATCTATCTATCTATCTATATCTATCTATCTCGGTCATTCCTTCTATCTATCTATCTATCTATCTATCTATCTATCTCTGTCCAATCTATCTATCTATCTATCTATCTATCTATCTATCATTCATTCATCTATCTATCTCAGTCTATCCCTTATTAGCTACGTATCTATCTATCTTACTTTGTTCAGATCAAACACTATAAACTGAGACACAAACACACACACGCAGATATATGTGAGTGTGTGTGTCAGAGAGAGAGAGAGCGAGAGAGAGCGAGAGAGAGAGAGAGAGAGAGCGCGGGAAAGAGATCTAACGATGTACATATTTTTATATATCAGGAACTATACTGAGGAAAAATGTATGAGAAAGTGGGAAAAATGTTTTTCGTGTGGCGCGTTTAGGATTTCGAAGAGATTAAATAGCTAGAAATTACAGAATATAGTGGAGGGCCATGATCGCTCATTTTTCTTAAGGGACCAGGTACATAGAAGAAAAAGAGTAATTTACTTCCATCTTTATTTTATTTGTACTGGATGAAGCATTGTAACTTAATATTATAAATTGTTAATTATCGTTTACTTTCATTCCTATTTTTTTATTTGATGTAGTGTTGTCAAAGATTATTATTAATCTGTTATTAGTATTTATTTTCATCTTCATTGCTTTGTATCGTATTTTTCTCCTGGCTGTCAATCTACGACAATTAGAAGACATTCAGTATCGGAAATAAGTCATCAAAAGTAGGTGAAATTCGAACTCTCATTTCATTTATCGTATCGTAGTAGGACAGGTATAATATATTAATGGCTGACAAAGTTTAGGTAAGAAGAAGAACATAAGAAATAGATTTAAAAAAAAAAAAAAGAAACAAAGAAACTGTAAGAAAAAAGAAAGAAAGACATTTTAAGAAATAAAGAAATTATAAAAAAAGAAAGAAAAAAAGAAAGAAATTGTTAGAAAGAAAGAAATTATAAGAAAACATAAATTGTTAGAAATAGCGAAAGAAATTATATGAAATTCTAAGAAAGAAAGAAAGAAAGAAACTGTAAGCGGGAAAGAAGGAAACTATGAAAGAAAGAAAGAAATTTTATGAAAGAAAGAAATCTTAAAAAAGAAAGAAAGAAATTCTAAGAAAGAAAGAAAGAAAGAAATTGTAAGCGGGAAAGAAGGAAACTATGAAAGAAAGAAAGAAATTTTATGAAAGAAAGAAATCTTAAAAAAAAGAAAGAAAGAAATTCTAAGAAAAGAAAGAAAGAAAGAAATTGTAAGCGGAAAGAAGGAAACTATGAAAAAAAAGAAAGAAATTTTATGAAAGAAAGAAATCTTAAAAAAGAAAGAAAGAAATTCTAAGAAAGAAAGAAAGAAAGAAATTGTAAGCGGGAAAGAAGGAAACTATGAAAGAAAGAAAGAAATTTTATGAAAGAAAGAAATCTTAAAAAAGAAAGAAAGAAATAATAAGAAAGAAAGAAAGAAAGAAAGAAAGAAATTGTAAGCGGGAAAGAAGGAAACTATGAAAGAAAGAAAGAAATTTTATGAAAGAAAGAAATCTTAAAAAAGAAAGAAAGAAATTCTAAGAAAGAAAGAAAGAAAGAAATTGTAAGCGGGAAAGAAGGAAACTATGAAAGAAAGAAAGAAATTTTATGAAAGAAAGAAATCTTAAAAAAGAAAGAAAGAAATAATAAGAAAGAAAGAAAGAAAGAAAGAAATTGTAAGAAATAGAGAAAGAATTTTTAAATAATTTTAAATAAATTGTAAAAAAGGACGAAATTGTATGAAAGAAAAATAGAAATTGTTAGAAAGAATGAAAGAAATTATAAGAAATAAAGAAAGAAATTGTATGAAAAAAAGAAATTTCAAAAATGAAATTCTCAGAAAGAAAGAAATTAAGAAAAAAAAGAAAGAAATTCTAAGAACGAAAGAAAGAGAAAAAGAAAGAAATTTTAAGAAAGAAAGTCAAAAAGAAATCGTAAGAAAAAAAGAAGGAAATTGCAAGAAAGTAAGTGAGAAGAAAGAGATATAGAAAGAGATGTAAATTACAAAGAGAAAAAAGTAGAGTGTAAGAGATAGAGAGAGAAGGAATTAAAGTGTTAGAGAGAGGGAAAGAAAGACAGAAAAAGGAAATAAGAAAGAGGGAAGGAGAAAGAAACGAAGAGAGAAAGAAACGAAGAGAGAAGAGAGAAGGGGAGAGAGAGAGAAGTGGCAATCTAATGATATAAAGAAAGATAACATTAGTGAGAAAAGAGAGAAAGAAAAAGAAAGACAAAGGTGTAGGAGAGATAGGGTGAGAGAAATAGATATAGTCATAAAGTGAGGGAGAGGAAAGTGTGTGGGAAAAAGAAAGAAGACAAATCAATGGCGATGGAAAGAAAAATTATAGCAGAAAATTATAAATTACACAGACAGAGAGAGAGAGAGAGAGAGAGAGAGAAAGAAAGAGAGAGAGAGAAAAAAGAAGAAAGAAATAGAAAGATAAAAGAAGGGAGACATGACACGTGGAACTAGAACAGTCCACCCCAGCTAGCGAAATAAAGGGTTCAGTTCTACCTCATCTCAGAAATATAGACAGATACTGAAAGGCCGAAACGTTGTAATAAATATGGTGACTAAGATGAGGACAATAGTCCGAATAATGTAAATAATGTACATAATACCTCATCTCAGAAATATAGACAGATACTGAAAGGCCTAAACGTTGTAATAAATATGGCGACAAAGATGAGGGCAGTAGTCAGAATAATGTAAATAATATACATAATACCTCATCTCAGAAATATAGACAGATACTGAAAGGCCTAAACGTTGTAATAAATATGGCGACAAAGATGAGGACAATAGTCAGAATAATGTAAATAATGTACATAATACCTCATCTCAGAAATATAGACATATACTGAAAGGCCTAAACGTTGTAATAAATATGGCGACAAAGATGAGAACAATAGTCAGAATAATGTAAATAATGTACATAATACCTCATCTCAGAAATATAGACAGATACTGAAAGGCCGAAATGTTGTAATAAATATGGCGACAAAGATGAGGGCAATAGTCCGAATAATGTAAATAATGTACATAATATCTCATCTCAGAAATATAGACAGATACTGAAAGGCCGAAACGTTGTAATAAATATGGCGACAAAGATGAGGACAATAGTCAGAATAATGTAAATAATGTACATAATACCTCATCTCAGAAATATAGACAGATACTGAAAGGCCTAAACGTTGTAATAAATATGGCGACAAAGATGAGGTCAATAGTCAGAATAATGTAAATAATATAATACCTCATCTCAGAAATAGAGACAGATACTAAGAAACGTTGTAATAAATATGGTGACTAAGATGAGGACAATAGTCCGAATAATGTAAATAATGTACATAATACCTCATCTCAGAAATATAGACAGATACTGAAAGGCCTAAACGTTGTAATAAATATGGCGACAAAGATGAGGGCAGTAGTCAGAATAATGTAAATAATGTACATAATACCTCATCTCAGAAATAGAGACAGATACTGAAAGGCCGAAACGTTGTAATAAATATGGCGACAAAGATGAGGTCAATAGTCAGAATAATGTAAATAATGTACATAATACCTCATCTCAGAAATATAGACAGATACTGAAAGGCCTAAACGTTGTAATAAATATGGCGACAAAGATGAGGTCAATAGTCAGAATAATGTAAATAATGTACATAATACCTCATCTCAGAAATATAGACAGATACTGAAAGGCCTAAACGTTGTAATAAATATGGCGACAAAGATGAGAACAATAGTCAGAATAATGTAAATAATGTACATAATACCTCATCTCAGAAATATAGACAGATACTGAAAGGCCTAAACGTTGTAATAAATATGGCGACAAAGATGAGGACAATAGTCAGATTAATGTAAATAATGTACATAATACCTCATCTCAGAAATATAGACAGATACTGAAAGGCCTAAACGTTGTAATAAATATGGCGACAAAGATGAGGTCAATAGTCAGAATAATGTAAATAATGTACATAATACCTCATCTCAGAAATAGAGACAGATACTGAAAGGCCGAAACGTTGTAATAAATATGGCGACAAAGATGAGGTCAATAGTCAGAATAATGTAAATAATGTACATAATACCTCATCTCAGAAATATAGACAGATACTGAAATGCCTAAACGTTGTAATAAATATGGCGACAAAGATGAGGTCAATAGTCAGAATAATGTAAATAATGTACATAATACCTCATCTCAGAAATATAGACAGATACTGAAAGGCCTAAACGTTGTAATAAATATGGCGACAAAGATGAGAACAATAGTCAGAATAATGTAAATAATGTACATAATACCTCATCTCAGAAATATAGACAGATACTGAAAGGCCTAAACGTTGTAATAAATATGGCGACAAAGATGAGGACAATAGTCAGAATAATGTAAATAATGTACATAATACCTCATCTCAGAAATATAGACAGATACTGAAAGGCCTAAACGTTGTAATAAATATGGCGACAAAGATGAGGTCAATAGTCAGAATAATGTAAATAATGTACATAATACCTCATCTCAGAAATATAGACAGATACTGAAAGGCCCTAAACGTTGTAATAAATATGGCGACAAAGATGAGAACAATAGTCAGAATAATGTAAATAATGTACATAATACCTCATCTCAGAAATATAGACAGATACTGAAAGGCCTAAACGTTGTAATAATATGGCGACAAAGATGAGGACAATAGTCAGAATAATGTAAATAATGTACATAATACCTCATCTCAGAAATATAGACAGATACTGAAAGGCCTAAACGTTGTAATAAATATGGCGACAAAGATGAGGTCAATAGTCAGAATAATGTAAATAATGTACATAATACCTCATCTCAGAAATAGAGACAGATACTGAAAGGCCGAAACGTTGTAATAAATATGGCGACAAAGATGAGGTCAATAGTCAGAATAATGTAAATAATGTACATAATACCTCATCTCAGAAATATAGACAGATACTGAAAGGCCTAAACGTTGTAATAAATATGGCGACAAAGATGAGGTCAATAGTCAGAATAATGTAAATAATGTACATAATACCTCATCTCAGAAATATAGACAGATACTGAAAGGCCGAAACGTTGTAATAAATATGGCGACAAAGATGAGAACAATAGTCAGAATAATGTAAATAATGTACATAATACCTCATCTCAGAAATATAGACAGATACTGAAAGGCCTAAACGTTGTAATAAATATGGCGACAAAGATGAGGACAATAGTCAGAATAATGTAAATAATGTACATAATACCTCATCTCAGAAATATAGACAGATACTGAAAGGCCTAAACGTTGTAATAAATATGGCGACAAAGATGAGGTCAATAGTCAGAATAATGTAAATAATGTACATAATACCTCATCTCAGAAATAGAGACAGATACTGAAAGGCCGAAACGTTGTAATAAATATGGCGACAAAGATGAGGTCAATAGTCAGAATAATATAAATAATGTACATAATACCTCATCTCAGAAATATAGACAGATACTGAAAGGCCTAAACGTTGTAATAAATATGGCGACAAAGATGAGGTCAATAGTCAGAATAATGTAAATAATAATACATAATACCTCATCTCAGAAATATAGACAGATACTGAAAGGCCTAAACGTTGTAATAAATATGGCGACAAAGATGAGGTCAATAGTCAGAATAATGTAAATAATGTACATAATACCTCATCTCAGAAATATAGACAGATACTGAAAGGCCTAAACGTTGTAATAAATATGGCGACAAAGATGAGGTCAATAGTCAGAATAATGTAAATAATGTACATAATACCTCATCTCAGAAATAGAGACAGATACTGAAAGGCCGAAACGTTGTAATAAATATGGCGACAAAGATGAGGTCAATAGTCAGAATAATGTAAATAATGTACATAATACCTCATCTCAGAAATAGAGACAGATACTGAAAGGCCGAAACGTTGTAATAAATATGGCGACAAAGATGAGGACAATAGTCAGAATAATGTAAATAATGTACATAATACCTCATCTCAGAAATAGAGACAGATACTGAAAGGCCGAAACGTTGTAATAAATATGGCGACAAAGATGAGAACAATAGTCAGAATAATGTAAATAATGTACATAATATCTCATCTCAGAAATATAGACAGATACTGAAAGGCCGAAACGTTGTAATAAATATGGCGACAAAGATGAGAACAATAGTCAGAATAATGTAAATAATGTACATAATATCTCATCTCAGAAATATAGACAGATACTGAAAGGCCGAAACGTTGTAATAAATATGGCGACAAAGATGAGAACAATAGTCAGAATAATGTAAATAATGTACATAATACCTCATCTCAGAAATAGAGACAGATACTGAAAGGCCGAAACGTTGTAATAAATATGGCGACAAAGATGAGAACAATAGTCAGAATAATGTAAATAATGTACATAATATCTCATCTCAGAAATATAGACAGATACTGAAAGGCCGAAACGTTGTAATAAATATGGCGACAAAGATGAGGACAATAGTCCGAATAATGTAAATAATGTACATAATATCTCATCTCAGAAATATAGACAGATACTGAAAGGCCGAAACGTTGTAATAAATATGGCGACAAAGATGAGGACAATAGTCAGAATAATGTAAATAATGTACATAATATCTCATCTCAGAAATATAGACAGATACTGAAAGGCCGAAACGTTGTAATAAATATGGCGACAAAGATGAGAACAATAGTCAGAATAATGTAAATAATGTACATAATATCTCATCTCAGAAATATAGACAGATACTGAAAGGCCGAAACGTTGTAATAAATATGGCGACAAAGATGAGGACAATAGTCAGAATAATGTAAATAATGTACATAATATCTCATCTCAGAAATATAGACAGATACTGAAAGGCCGAAACGTTGTAATAAATATGGCGACAAAGATGAGGACAATAGTCAGAATAATATAAATAATGTACATAATATCTCATCTCAGAAATATAGACAGATACTGAAAGGCCTAAACGTTGTAATAAATATGGCGACAAAGATGAGGACAATAGTCAGAATAATGTAAATAATGTACATAATATCTCATCTCAGAAATATAGACAGATACTGAAAGGCCGAAACGTTGTAATAAATATGGCGACAAAGATGAGGACAATAGTCAGAATAATGTAAATAATGTACATAATATCTCATCTCAGAAATATAGACAGATACTGAAAGGCCGAAACGTTGTAATAAATATGGCGACAAAGATGAGAACAATAGTCAGAATAATGTAAATAATGTACATAATATCTCATCTCAGAAATATAGACAGATACTGAAAGGCCGAAACG